ATCTGTCTATTTATATACCGTATGTATTGTGTTTGGTGGGGCACCTCTAGCAGCCGCTATGTCCTACCTGATGACGTGGTTTCTGGTTCTGCACTGGAGTGATGACGTCAATGTTATAAGGAGTGAAAAGAAGATTGGTCGAGACCAGCGTGCAGAGCAGCTTCGTGGAGCGGTCATCACAACTGGCTGGCAGCAGGACTTGGACCATTGATTAAGGTAAGTACGAGTGTATCTTAGGGGCTTTATTGACAAAATAAAGACTTGCATATTGCCTGTGAGTGGGGTAGTCACTATTTTAGTTTTTGAGTTGACTGTAGTTGGGCTTTAAGACTGAATATGTAAGTCTTTTTTTGTAATAAAGCCCCTAAGACACACTAGTACTTCCCGAGTATCAACGGTCCATCTTGCTGCCACCAGTTGTGATCACCAGTCCACTGAAGCTGCTCTTTCCTGCCAACAAAAATCCTGACGCCTTTTCACACACAGGTTCTGCTATGCACTAATGTGTCCAGACTGTGAAATAAAAACATTTCTCCTTTCCAAAACTGTCTAAAAAAAATTTCCAGCAAACCTGCCTTAGGAAATTACAGGTGGAACACAAATGTTCGAATACGGTTGGATGGCTATGGAAGACAAGATGGCAGACAGCTTTTATTTCAGACACAGATAACTCGGGAGCTCTGGGAATCTCTCACCTGTCCCCATGGCCGGGAAAGGCCACTGAGGTTGCTTGTTGTCTCTCACATACATGCAGGGCTTCCAGTACACACTTCCTTATTAAATCTGGTTTAGCTTGGACAAAAATATGTATTATATTTTTTTACAGTGAAGGTTTCCTCCTTGCGTCACCACGTACCCATTGTTGGGTTGGGTTCCTGGAAAAAAAAGAAAAGAAGGAAAATTTGTGAGCAATGATGAAGGCGTTTATCTTTGGATATTGGGGTCATCTGATGAAAAGCACGTACATAAACACATAACCTCATAGAACTCATTGTATCTTAGCTGCTGGAGGTACCAGGAGGAAAAGATACCCTTTTATAGAAGCTTCCTTTTCCTGAGCAGCCAATCAGAACCTCTGCTTCACACAGATCCTGGCCTGTATGGTGGTTATAATGATGAAGAGGTTAGAGGGACCCCAAAAGTGCTAAATGGTGAGAATTTATGGCCACGTTGAAGAGCAAGGAGGGGGAAATTGCTGCATTCACAGTTCATTTTCAATTTAAACTGGGCTCATTTCCAACACTTAAAAATGTTGTCTCTCCTAAAAAAAAATTAAGTTTTGAATTAATATTGGTTTTGTATCATAAAATCTCTTTCTGACAAATATAAAATGGTCCCATGTTCCTCAAGGAAGAACTACACTCAAGATCAAATGCCATGGTGGGGCTTGGGGTGGAAAAAAGTGAACATGTGTTTCAGATCAGTTGTATATTGGATGGAACATGGATCAGATCTGGTGGCTGTACCGTGTACCAATGACATTTAAGAACTTCTGATCTGAAGATAAAATTTCTGTTTCCCATTAAAATAATTACTTTCTTTTCTCTATTTAACTTATTGTACGGCCATCATCAAATTTCCTGGATTGGTTCCTTGTCATTCACGAGATCTACATTTCTGATGAATTATTTACCAGAGCTTTCGTTTTGTTTCATATATTATAGGTCACATGCTCTCTATCTGCTTCTCTTTCCACATGTAATAAATTCTTCATAAAATTTCTTACCGAGCCTGGCACATTCACTTTCTATATTAGTCCCCGCTCCTTCCAGGATCACTTTAGAAACTCCTGCAACAACACAACATATCAGCTTCAAATTGTCAAAATGGAATTCAGTATTTGTTTAGTGAATAGAACCAGCAAGATTCCTCTACAAGGTCAAATGAAGCCAAGAAATACTGTGTGAGAAATATTTTATCTCTATGAAGTCATACAAACAACAAGACTTTATATATCGGATCACAAGAGTTCTGCATGTGGAGATGAACAAAACTAGAGAAGGTGTGGGAGACTTTTATGGTTGAATAAAGTGTCCTATGGGAGAGTCTATTATTGGAGATAACTGATGTCAAACAGACCTCTCCACCTGGATATCAAATCTCCAACATGACCCTCCATGAGGTAGAACATACTCTACTCCTGGCCTTCTCTCTTCATTTTTAATTGCACTAACCACCAGGATATCATACCTTTGATGTGACCCCCCAATAGCATTGAACCTATTCATCCCTTCACCTTTCTAATTACACTCACCACTGAGATATCAAATCTCCAACATGACCCTCCATAAGGCAGAACATACTCTACTCCTGGCCTTCTCTCTTCCTTTATAATTGCACTAACCACCAGGATATCATACCTTTGACGTGACCCCCCAATAGCATTGAACCTATTCATCCCTTCACCTTTCTAAGTACACTCACCACTGAGATATCATATCCTTCAACATGATCCTCTATAAGGCAGAACATACTCTGCTCCTGTCCTTCTATCTACCATTCTGATTACGCTCACCACCAGGATGTCACACCCTCCATCACGACTCTTTATAATATAGAAGATAATCTGCTCCTGGCCTTCTCTCTACCTTTTCCAATTGCATTCACCTCTGGAATTCCACACCTCCAACATGACCCTCCATAAGGTAAACCTGTCACGGTCCACCCCCTACCCCCCTTGCCTGCTGCCCCTCTGTCCCTTTTCCTTGATCAGTTCCTCCCTTCCCCCTTGCAGATTCCTCGCATCCTGTGCAGCCTACATCAAAGGCTGTGCAGGACGGGAGGAAACGCCCTCTGTGGTGTGGGTAGAACCTCTCCTCGCGAAGCCGCCGAGGAGTTGGGCCCCCCCCACCAGGAATCTCTGGCGCAGGCCACCGGGGTGTCTCCGCGTGGTCTCTGCGCCCGCTGGAGACAAAGGTTGCACTCCCATAAGCGCGGCCAGAGTCAGGGGGCGTGCCTTGTTGCCCCGGCAACGCGACACTGGGCCGGCCGTTGCTGAGGCAACCGGGAAGCGTCCTGCTCTAGCTTAAAAAGACCGGAGCAGGATCCAGGCCGTGTTTGGTCCCCTGCTCGAGAAGAGAACGGCTGTGTGGGGTCTGAGCTGAGGCCAGACCCCACAGCCTAGACCCCGCTGAGGGTCCCTGTCTTCTGATCGCTGTTTCCCTGGGAAACTGCCCCCTGCCTGCTGACCGCTGTGTCCCTAGAAGGTTGAGCACCGTGAGGGTCCCTGTCTGCTGATTGCTGTGTCCCTGGGAAGCTGCCCCTGCCTGCTGACCACTGTGTCCCTAGAAAGCTGAGCACCGTGAGGGTCCCTGTCTGCTGATCGCTGTGTCCCTGGGAAGCTGCCCCCTGCCTGCTGACTGCTGTGTCTCTAGAAAGCTGAGCACCGTGAGGGTCCCTGTCTGCTGATCGCTGTGTCCCTGTGGAGCTGCCCCTACCTGCTGACCGCTGTGTCCCTAGAAAGCTGAGCACCGTGAGGGTCCCTGTCTGCTGATCGCTGTGTCCCTGGGAAGCTGCCCCCTGTCTGCTGATCGCTGTGTCCCTGGGGAGCTGCCCCTGCCTGTTACCCACTGTGTGCCAAGGAGTATCGCTACCTGCCACTGCTGAGTGTCCCTGGAAGCCACCTGTCATGAGTGTCCCTACAAACCGCATGTTGCGAAGTGTCCTGAACTGCCCCTACTGTGTGCCGGGATTAATAATTGTTCGAACTGCCTATTGCGTGTCTGGATTATCGTAGCTACCAGAACTGCCCCCCCAGAGTGCTCGGGCCTTCGCTACCTGAATCGCCCTATCGTGGGCCGTATTATAACTGTTTGGACTCCTCCCCCCTCTTCCCCCTTTTTTGGGTACCCGGACGCTACCTTCCTCCCCTGATTAAGTGCATTCCATAGTTCAATAAAGCTTTGTGTGCTTATCATCCTCTGTGTGTGTTCTGTCCTGCCTACGCTTCCGTCACAAGAACATACTCTCTGTTCCTGACCTTCTCTCTACCTTTCTGATTGCACTCACCACCGGGATGTCACACCTCCAACATGACCCTCCATAAGGGAGAACATACTCTGCCTCTGACCTTCTCTCTACCTTTGTGATTACACTCAACACTGGGATGTCACAACTCCAACATGACCCTCCATAAGGTAGAACATACTCTGCTCCTGGCCTCCTCTCTGACCATATACTGTATACCCACCACCGGGACATCACACCTCCAACATGACCCTCCATAAGGTAGAACATACTCTGCTCCTGACCTTCTCTCTACCTTTCTGATTACATCCACCACCGGGATAACAAACCTCCAACATGACCCTCCATATGGTACAAAACACTCAATGGGTTGTACTGTAGGCTCTGCTGCATGTGGTCTTTTGGTGAGGTTGTTCTGATCATCTCACAGTTCTCTAAAAGATTTTCACATTTCATGGTCCCAGCAACATTCTAGTGAATACCTGTTTTGAGGTTGAATGTGTTATTGGTGGAGTTGACAATGATGTCACACTTTTGCTTTGTTATATCTCCAGTTTTCACCTGGTAGGTGAGAGATCCAATCCTCATTTCATAGACATCCTGTGCCGGGCTTTTCACATTCCCCAATAAAGCTACAAAACAGATCACAATTGGAAGAGATAATCACCCGTTATTGTATTCCAGATCATCCAGATTCACTAAGAAGTCTGTTCTTGTGCGCCTTTATTTTTAAAGAATAAACATTATATGTTACGGGTTTTGACCAAAAATATACCCTGCGTGACCCCAAAAACAGTTATCAGAGTTTTCGTTTGGCATCAATGCCACAAAACCTACTGCTGAAATGTATTGAAGCAACCTACATTCAGTCCGGGACACTTGGACCCATTGGTGGCTTTGCACATTCCATCATTACAATGAGGCACAATGTCTGCAGTGTGAGGAGTCTATGATGTTCCTGTACATAGCACAGATATTACTTACATTGGGGTTTGTCTTCTTTCTTCTGTCCTCCAGTGTTGATTGTTTTCTCCAGCTCAGAGTTAAAAGCCTGAAACCAACAACAGCGGATGAGATTTACTCATTACAATGGAGAACCATAAAATCGCACAACGCTCTGTTACTTCACTCTTCTAACTACAATCCCATGAAAACTCTTCATTACCTTTATAGTTTCTGTGTCACTCGGGTGCAGCATGAAATCCACTTGTTTCAGATATTGGAGTTGATTTTTGCTGCTGAACTCGAGAATTTCCTCAAACATTAAGGCAGCCGCAATATTCCTGGGAAATCCCAGAATTCCCGTTCCGATGGCTGGGATTGTGATGGATCTGTGTTGTTTGGTTTCTGTGGTGATCAGACAGTCACTCACAGTTTTTCTCAGAATCTGTCAACAGATAAGATCAGCTAATAATACAGGCGGGTGATGGTGCAGCAGAGTTGTATGAATATGGATGAATGGACGAACAGATGGATGGATAGTGGATGGATAGATGTATGGATGGTGGATGTATGGATGATGGAAGGATGGACAGATAGATGTATGGTAGATGGATGGATGGTGGACTGATGGATAGTGGATGGATGAATGTTGGACAGATGGATGTATTTGGGGTGGATGGATGGAGGGACAGATGGATGATAGATGAATGGTGGACAGATGATGGAAGGATGGATAGTAGATGGATGGATGGATAAATGGATGGATGATAGATGGAAGGATGGATGGTGGATGGATAGATTGATGGATGGTAGATGGAGGGATGGATGGGTGTATGAATGATAAATGGATAGTGGATGGATGGATGTATGGATGGTGGATGGATGAATGTATGGATGATGGAAGGATGGACAGATAGATGTATGGTAGATGGATGGATGGTGGACTGATGGATAGTGGATGGATGAATGTTGGACAGATGGATGTATTTGGCGTGGATGGATGGAGGGACAGATGGATGATAGATGAATGGTGGACAGATGATGGAAGGATGGATAGTAGATGGATGGATGGATAAATGGATGGATGATAGATGGAAGGATGGATGGTGGATGGATAGATTGATGGATGGATGGATGGGTGTATGAATGATAAATGGATGGTGGATGGATGGATGTATGGGTGGTGGAAGGATGGATGGATAGATGGATGGTAGATGGCTGGATGGATGGTAGATGGATGGGTGGATGGATAGATTGATTGATGGATGATAGATGGATGTTGTACTGATGGGTGGATGGATGGTGAAAGGATTGACGGTGGATGGAAGAATAGATGGAGGGACAGATGGTGGATGGATGAATGTGTGGATGGATGATGAAGGATGGACAGACAGATGTATGGTAGATGGATGGATGGTGGATGGATGAATGGTTGACAGATGGATGTATTGGGGGTGGATGCATGGAGGGACAGATGGATGGTAGATGGATGGTGGATGGATGATGGAAGTATGGACAGAAGGATGGATAGTAGATGGATGGATGGATAGTAGATGGAAGGATGGATGGTGGATGGATGGATGGATGATAGATGGATGGGTGGATGGATGATAAATGGATGGATGAATGGTGGATGGATGTATGGGTGGTGGAAGGATGGATGGATGGATAGATGGATGGTAGATGGATGGATGGATGGTGAAAGGATGGATGGTAGATGGATGGGTGGATGGATAGATTGATGGATGATAGATGGATAGTGTACTGATGGGTGGATGGATGGATGGATGGATGGATGGTGAATGAATGGATGGTGGACAAATGGATGGGTGTTGGATGGATGCGCTAATGGATGAAGGATGAGGGTTAGACAGATGAATGGATGCATGGTGAACAGATGGATGGGTAGATGGCAGATGAAAGAATGGAGGGATGGGTGGATTGATAAATAGATATAAATAGATGGATGGAGGATGGATGGATGTGTGGTGGATGGAATGACTCATTGATGAAGGATAAGTGTTGGACAGATAAATGGATACATGATGGACAGATGGATGATGGATGGGTGGTGGACAGATTGACATCTGGATGGTAAATGGATTGGTGGGTGATGGACAGCTAGATGGATGGATGTTAAAAGCTAATAGTAACAGCTTAAATATTTTTTAGCAATCTACATGATTTATAAAGTGTTAATTACACAGATCTGTTACTGGGAACATTTGGGGGAGATGAGGTGTGTGGGGTAATGCAATCAGGTATGGAAATATTCCTCATCCATATGTATACAGTGAGAAACAGAAGTATTTGAACCCCCTGCGATTTTGCAAGTTCTCCCACTTAGAAATCATGGAGGGGTCTGAAATTCACATTGTAGGGGCATTCCCACTCTGAGAGACAGAATTTAAAAAAAAGATTCAGGAAATCACATTGTATGATTTGTAAAGAATGTATTTGTCTCGCACGGCTGAACAGAAGTATTTGAACACCTAAGAAACAGCAAGAATTCTGGCTCCCAAAGACCTGTTACTGCGCCTTTACAAAGTCCCCCTCTACTCCACTCATTCATCTCACTTAGTAGCACCTGTCTGAGCTCTTTATAGACACCCATCCACCCCACAGTCAGTCAGACGACAACTACTACCATAGGCAAGACCAAAGAGCTGCCAAAAGACACCAGAGACAAAATTGTGGACCTCCACAAGGCTGGAAAGGGCTACGGGGCAATTGCCAAGCAGCTTGGTGAAAATAGATCAACTGTTGGAGCAATTGTTAAAAAATGGAAGAGGCTAAAGATGACTGTCAGTCTCCCTCGGACTGGGGCTCCATGCAAGATGTCACCTCGTGGGGTATCACTGATGATAAGAAAGGTGAGGAATCAGCCCAGAACTACAAGGGAGGAGCTGGTCAATGACATGAAGAGAGCTGGGACCACAGTTTCAAAGGTCACTGTCGGTAGAACACTACGCCGCCATGGTTTCCAATCATGCATTGCACGGAAGGTTCCCCGGCTCAAGTCATCGCATGTCCAGGCCCGTCTGAAGTTTGCCAATGACCATCTGGATGATCCAGAGGAGGCATGGGAGAAAGTCATGTGGTCAGAGGAGGCATAGGAGAAAGTCATGTGGTCAGAGAAGGCATAGGAGAAAGTCATGTGGTCAGATGAGACCAAAGTAGAACCTTTTGGTCTAAACTTCACTTGTCGTGTTTGGAGAAAAAAGAAGGATGAGTTGCATCCCAAGAACACCATCCCTACTGTGAAGCATGGGGGTGGTAACATCATGCTTTGGGGGTGCTTTTCTGTGAAGGGGACAGGACGACTGCACTGTATTAAGGAGAGGATGAATGGGGCCATTTATTGTGAGATTTGCAGCAACAACCTCCTTCCCTCAGTCAGAGCATTGAAGACGGGTCGTGGCTGGGTCTTCCAACATGACAACGACCTGAAGCACACAGCCAGGAGAACCAAGGAGTGGCTCCGTAAGAAGCATATCAAGGTTCTGGAGTCGCCTAGCCAGTCTCCACACCTAAATCCAATAGAACATCTTTGGAGGGAGCTGAAACTCCGTGTTGCTCAGCGACAGCCCCGAAACCCGACAGATCTAGAGGAGATCGGTGTGGAGGAGTCGGCCAAAATCCCTGTTGCAGTGCAAACCTGGTCAGGAACTACAGGAAACGTCTGACCTCTGGAATTGCAGACAAAGGCTTCTGTACCAAATATTAACACAGATCTTCTCAGGGGTTCAAATACTTCTGTTCAGCCGTGCGAGACAAATACATTCTTTACAAATCATACAATGTGATTTCCTGAATTTTTTTTTTAATTCTGTCTCTCAGAGTGGGAATGCACCTACAATGTGAATGTCAGACCCCTCCATGATTTCTAAGTGGGAGAACTTGCAAAATCTCAGGGGGTTCAAATACTTCTGTTCCTCACTGTACATAACAGATTAAAGCAGAACAATCATTAAATAATATGGTACTATGGCTTCAAATTAAAGAATGACAGAGAAAGATGTAGATGTGTGAAGTTAGCATGGTAAAGACACCTACTGGACTTAAGAAGGTATTTAGGGAGGACCTGTACTCTGAAAGCAAGGCCCAACATCGACAAGCAGAGGATGAATGACTAGTCATCAGTATTTTTTGTAGTCTTCCTGTAGCTGACTTACCATTCCTTGTTCTGAACTCTCTCTATCTCTATGTGGAGGTGGCCATCTTGGTACTGGCAGGACTTTGCTTCCTCATGTCAGGGCTGCCCCCATCCCCATGACTGGTGATGTGATGACTGGTGGGGTAATGATCAAGGTGGAGGAAGCACAGGTCCACAGAATGGAGGAAGTAGTAGCAGGGAGATTCTTGCACTGTGCGTTCTCAGGTACAGCTTCTTCTGTGGCAAGGAGAAACCGTGAGCAGCACAGTAGTGACATCACCAGATTTCACTCCAAATTAGTGCCTTAGATGATCTCGTGCTGCAGATATAAAGCTATGAGCCTACAGAACAGAAGAACCTGGACACAGAAAGTGCACTGCTATCAGGGGTATCTAACTGCTAATTTTCAGGAGGAACTCGAGACAAAAGATACATTTTCATGGCCACCATAAACCTTTCTAGATGTTCCCTATAATACAGCAAACTCTTACTTTTTGAGTTCAGGTCCATTTTGGAAATATTTTTCTATTAGGAAAGGTAAGTTGATGTGTCATTGGAGGTTTGTACATGTCACTCTGTGCACACATGGAGCATGTTGTTCCAGGTTAGTTGAGTTTGGTTGTCGAAGATGGATATGTCAAAGGCCACTTTAAATGTCATAATGCGAAGCACAAGACAAGAAATGCAACACCATGACAGCATTATGGAAAGGTTCTATTCTTCAGATCTTGCATATGACAAGTCTTATCTGGGAAATGTCACATTGAGCGATGAGGAATCAATCAGCCAGAAGGTGAAGGGAGATGGTTAGTGTGAATAATTAAACTATGACCTTAGGCTGCCATTGTGGCCACTGCAACTCAACAGGCTGCAGAGTGAGATGACTGCAGGTCAGGCCCTGCTAAGGAATGGACTGGACCTGAGACTGCTAATAACCCGTTATCTGTTACCAAGATAGAAATTGTATTTTTCCTTCTTTTTAGTTGTGTGTAAGTGTGTCATTATTCACTGCTACTATATCGAGAGGCCGAGAACCTGAAACAATTGATTCGACTGATTCGGCGAATTGTTGTGGACCAATATACGATTCGATTCGACTAAAGTTCGCTGTGAAATTATTCAAATGAGGGGTGTTTCTCGGCTCAAGAGGAACTTAATATTAGTTGCGAGAAAACTACTTGTGTACTTTATTTAAATGCTCTAGAGTCTGCCTGGGAAGCGGACATAATAAGTCTGTCAGTATGACCTGACAGTATGCGTGCCGCTCGATCTTAGAATCACCCGCACGA